CAAACGCGCGCGCCCGGCTTGGGCCCTCTCCTCAGCTCCGCCTCTTGCGTTCCCACCTTCGGAGGGGGGACCCAGAGGGCGCCTGATTGGCTGAAAAGGCGGGGCCAAGCCAGGGGGTGGAACGATGAGTACCTAGGGGCCGTGAGAAGGGAAATTAGGTTCAGTGAAGTCCCAGAAGGAAAGAGGAATGAAGTGTTGGTCCAGCGGTTGCCAGAGCCCCGAATTCAGCCAGATTCCATACAGACCGTATGTTCTCGAAGCCCGCAGTCAACACTCCTCACTAACCTAACGCCCAATACTTACGGCAGGCCTTAGCAATTAAAAAAACTACATCTCCCAGAAACCTTAGCGAAAATAAGTCTCACCTTGCGTAACCACGTAGTCCTTCGCCACATTTGAACAAAGTAATCCCTTCATTTTTCAGAAGGTATGAGGAATAATACTTTGTTTTTCTCCGCACCGGGACAAGTTTAAATGTTACTGCGATAAGAGACATTAGCTATGGGAAGGTGATGAAGCGACTCGAGTAAAGAGGAAAGAGGCCATCAAAACTAAACACTGCGGAGGAATTTTTGTCCTGCCGTGAGACGACGGAGTGAAGAGCGTGAAGGCGATTGAGAGGGGCTCAAGGGATTGTGCTCTAGGCGAGGGCCTTCCTTTAGGCCCCGACCCGGCCTGCCCCTAAAGCCAGCAGGTCAGTAAGCAAGGCGAGTTTGGGGGTGCCTGGGCGGAGGCACCCTTCACTCCTTGAAACTCATCCCTCTGTCGCTGTTGTTACTGGTTTGTCTCGGTTTATGGCCCACTGAATGGGGGCGCCGCACTTCCGGTTGGGGGAGGGGAGGCCGAGCGCCCTGGGTGGGGAGGATGAAACATAGCCCACTTCCTGTGGGGGTAGGGTGTTGGTTAGGGTCGCATCATCCACTTCCTGTGTCGGCCAGTAGTGGAGGTGAGGTGTCATGTACCTGTACTGCACCTTATCGATTTGGGCTTGTGTATTATATGAAAAGTTAGGCGATTCCCCCACGTTGTGCACCTCATCATCACCCCAGTAAGAATTGATGGGAGATTTGTTTCCACGTGTAAGGTGGCACATTTCTCCCTGACAAGGTTATCTTAATTGTGTTCTTAAACGAATCTGAAATTTCTGCTGTTTCATTAATAATCAGTACAAGACGACTTGCTGCCTTAGTCCTCTCCAACCTTGACCAAGTATGGTGGTGGTCTCTGCCTTGGCGCCACAGGGACCCTCACCGCTCTTCTAGGGAGGTGGTTTGTTACAAGGCTTAAGATTTTACATCAATTATGAGGCCTTTGCACCTTACTAGGGTGAACTGCTCCCATATTTGGTATTACCTGGACTGATGGGATTGGTAACTTGAATCCTTAGGCCTGTTGATTTCAGACCTGCCCTGTGCCTGGGAACAGCATTCTCAGGCTTAAACATCCTTTACACGTAGCTGACATGTAGCACTTGTGAAAGTTAGACTTTAGTATAGCTGCCCACCCTCACCCCCTTTGTAATTTAATGAAATTTAGCTTCGATGGTTTTTAAAACATGCTGCAAGGATAACGAGATTCAGCTCAGATTTTTAGTAGGGGAAGAAACTGACTCACAAATGACAAAAGATGAGTAAGAACTTTCTATTTTTCCCATAATGTCAGTGTTGTATAAGAAACTATATGCGTACAGGTAATAAATACCCAACTGTTTTGATTGCCTGACTTCTGTTTTCAAATACCACAATACTTGAGTGTGAGTATGTGCACTGAAGGAATCAATTTTTTTGGACATTACAAAATCTCTACAACTTTAGTATTAAAAGAGCAAGTTAGCTGTAATAGCCACTAATTACTTTTATATAGAGTAAAGCCTGTGTGTTTTTCCCTTTGGAATTGTGTCTAATCTCAGAATTTGCTACTTTTTAAAATTCGCAATTATTTTAAATCTATTTCTTTTTAGATTTTTTTATTATATAAAGTGAATGAGTTGTCTCTTAAAAGACTATAAAGTTTAGGCAGCAGTTGAAAAGACAAGAAAAAAGTTTTCATTAATAGAAAGTTATAGATGTGTAGACTGCCTCAAGCAATTCTTAATTGATTACAGAAAGTGTTCTGTATTAATGTAATATAGAAGAAAATATGATCACCCTTGCAAATTACTTATTGTATTAGGAATTGTTGAAAGAAACAGAGATAAGATAGCTAAAATATTGATTAATTGAGATGTAATAACAGTGCCTTTTGAAAGCTGTCTTTGGGAAGCAAAGGAATTTATTAAATTGGTCTTTATTCTGTTCCATGCAAGAAATGTAGTTTAATAGAAATAAGAAAAATTCCAGAAAAAGTCCTCCAGCTGAAGGATTTGAGCAGCTTAAAAAACTAACTGTTCAAATAGAGACATTTTACAGGGGTGGAGTGGGGAATTGGATCAAAAATTGGGGGGCTAGGGGTGGCAGGTACTGGACTGTGGTGATGGCGCATAGGTGATTTGGTGATGGGAAGCCCATGGGGATTACAACTGAGATGGGAAAAGGCACATACAGAAATGATGTAAAAATGAACTTATATTTTAAAAAAAACTACCTGTTTAGAAGAAAGTAATATATAAAGCACGTATCAGAAAGATGTTTTATGATAAGTGGCAGCTATTCATCAGTTCCATCAAAGAAAAAAATTTTAGAAATGCTTGTGAAATAGTGCAAAATCCATGGAACCTTCTTTTATCTCTTTGAAAGTAGTGTTTATGTGGAAAGACTTGTTCATCTTCCAGAAATTTTTGTTCTTCTCTCTTTATTGCAGTTTTTTTAATGTGTTCCAATACAAATGTACAATCAAATTAGAATAATGTTTTTTAAGTGTACTTTGTTGAGTTAATGATTTTGAGATTTTTTTCATTACTTGCCATCTATAAGAAATAGTCAATTTTTAGAGTGTTCAAATACCTATTTTTTGTGTCTAAAACAGTCATTGGAGATTCTGCTCAGAGCCATTTGAAATATTAAAACAGGAGATCAAAATCCTGGATTCCACCTCACTGAAATTTGATTATCCACAGAGTGCTAGTGCTATATATAATGCAAAAGTATCTTTTGACTGTTTTGTTTACCTTGTCTTTGTAAAATCATGTTAATGTTTTATAACTTGATTTTTTGTGTGCTTTTTTTGGTTGTTGCTTTTGCCACATATTTAGTGTTAAGGAGAGTGGTTTTTAAACACTTGAGTGCTTTTTAAACTTACTACTCTGTAGTCTTTACCTCTATTTCAGGGCCTTCAACAGTATTCAAATGAGAATAAGCCCTACATGACTTTTCATTATTTTAGCAAGCTTATTGAATACATTAGTGTATGCAGACAAATATCCGTGTTCTTGAGGAGTTTACACTCTAGTTTTCAAATCAAAACTGGAATTTTGCTTTTTTGTAACTTGAAACAAGATCATTGTTAAAATTGGATCAAGAAGGAGCCTGACTTGATCTCTTTTGGTGTTGATTTCTAAGGTAGTCTAAACCCAATTTTGGATATTTTGCTCCAGACCATACAAATCTGTCAAATATTCAACCCTCTTCATTTATGCATAATAATGATTCTAGCCTCTTTCACGCGATAAAACCCAAAATAAATATGGAATCAGTCACACTGTGTTTAAAACTGGATGTCTACAGTTTATTAGTTGAGCTCATTAGCTAGGTAACCGTGAGCAATTTACTTAACCTTTCTAAGTTATGGATGTGTAGACTGCCTCAGGTTGCCATAAACCTAAATGGGGTTGTATGGATCATAAGGTGTAAATTACCTAATGTTGTGATCTTAGTGAATGCCATTTACCCCAATCTTGGTTTTGCTATTCTGGCCATTAGGATTTGCATAAGTCTTTTTAGTCTTACTTAGACCCAGAAGTATGGGGATACAGCTCTAGGATTACAGAAATTCTGCCTCCTCCTGTCTACTCGTTCAGTTGGTGGTCAAAACTGCACATTTTCTTCTTCTTGTGGGTAAGAGGAATCACTAACTTACATGCTCATGCTAGAAAATATAATAGAAAAGTTTCAAGAAGGTTGTAGAATCGGTTCAATAATTTCAGTTATTATAGGTAGACTTTGAATCATTTTTCTAAGCTCATTTAAATCCTAAAACTTAACACTCAGGGTCCTTCTCCCAATATCTAGCTACATTTTCTTAGATGTGTTGAAAAAAATTTCTAACTGCAGCCAGCCTTTTTATTTGTTCCTGCTATCTTCTCCCCAAAACACTTTCTTTTTCTCTAGGCATCCTATTAATCAAAATACCACCTTCTTTCAAGACCTCTATCAAGACCATCTTCAGCTTACACAGTTTTTTCTAATGTCTGTCTGCTCTCTGCACTCTCCTAACAATATTTGTTCTGTCCACTGACCTCCAGAATATGCAATTGCTGCTGCTGCTGGTGGTGCTGCTGTTGTGTCATTGTTGTTGCATATTGAAGTTTATGTAGTACCATAAAAAGCTAGCCTATATCTTGTTCTTGTCTCTGTCTCTGCTGTCATACCTGGCACAATGCCATTCACATTGTAAGTATTCATTAAACTTTTGCCAAGTTGAATAGGTCCTTGGCGTATGATGGAACTGATGGATTATTTTTGTCCACTGTTTATACCCAACATGAAGCACTAAAGCTAGTACACAATAGACGCTCAAATATCTGCCAAATGAAAGTGTGATTAAGTCATTCTCTCGTATGTAGTTAAATAGCCAAGAAAACTGAAAATATGTCCATACAGAATCTTTACAGAAATGTTCATAGCATTGTATATACGAGCTAAAAGATAGACACCCATTCATTCACTTGGTGAATGAATGAATAAATAAAATTAGTACAGCTATACAATGGGATATTACTCAGCAATTTAAAAAAATGAATGAAGCATGCAATGTAGATCAACCTGCACACTGAAGTGAAAGAATTCAGGAACAGAAACCACATATATGAGATGTCCAGGATAGACAAATCCCTAGAAACAAAGTATATTAGCAATTGCAAGGGAGATGCGGATGAGTAGTGACTGCTAGTGGGTATGGAATTTCTTTGAGGGATAATGGAACTGTTAGGGTACTAGTGGTTATAGCTGCACAACCTTGGTTAAAAATACCTGTAGACCAGTATGCTAAAACTGCTGAGTTATATACTGTAGAGGTAAATTTTGTGATATGTGCAATATATCAAAAAGGAAATAAACTTGAGGAATTTAGATTTTGGATGGGGCTAGAAAAAGGAAGCAAGAGATATGAAACTAAAGAGGTAGTAATTGTTCCTCAAATCCTAGAGGGAAATACAAGTACCTAGTACAGGATTAGAAATTGCGAATCAAGTGAGGTTAGCTATGAAGGTTTATGGCTATATTCTGTCTTAATGAAGCAAGTAGTGAGATGAATGGTTAGACTAGATGAATGTTGACAAAGGTGAAAGACATTTTAGGATCTTGAAGGATGCTTCAGATTTTTTTATTAGGTTAGGGATACAGTTTATGAACAACTTGGTTTCTTTGTCAGCTGAATTCAAAAGTGAAAATATCATAGGCGGGGCCCTCCCTGGTGGCGGAGTGGGTTAAAAGCACAGCACTAAGAAGCTAAAGCCACTTCAGCATGAGTTCGATCCCCACCCCGTAGGTGACCCACATGGCACAGCAGACCTCTCCTGACCCTCCCACTGCTCCCCTC